GTGCCAATATAGAGCCTCTGGTATGTGGCAGTTTCCGCTCTCTGCCAAGCAATTCCATGCATTTAATTCTGAGGTGAAAATACTTTCCTAAGATTTCACTTCTATTCAGTCTTTGTAAATGACCCCCAAGCATAACAGTTCCTCTCATAACATTATTTCCACATACCTCATTGTGAGTCACATGCAAAAAAATTCACTGCTTGACCACAAAGGCAGACATAGTCTTTACTAGAAACACGACTGCTGATGAGATATGAAAATGCAAAACTCCAGCTTAGCTGCTTGCATAGTGAAAACACTTTCCATTTAGCAACATGCAAGTGTAGTAGGATAAATGGACCTGTAAGATAAGGAGAAAACTAACTTTTGACTAACTTTTCTGAGGTGGTGATCTGACTCCTTGTTCAAGACAAACAACATCTCCACAATTAAAAGCCTTAACTCAACCAGATTCAATAAAGCTAAAGAAACCATGGGATCCTCAGTTTACTAAATGTTCCTTTCTTTGTTGTTTCTTCTAGAGAATAACAAGAGAGGGAGACAAAACAAGCAAACATAAATAATAATTAATTAAACTGCCCTGTCGAACATGCCCTAATCTTCAGGTCTTGAAGCTGAATAAGGTAAAAGCTCTAACTAGTGAAACAAGGGGCAAGGCAGTCAATTTCAAAAGCTTGCTATCTCCTAGATCTAGACAGATCTAGTCAGGGACAGAGAGCAGGTAAGATGAGATTTAAGTGCGTTACCCTGAACTTTTGGTTAGATTTAAAATTCTCAGTGGGATGACTCATTGTGCTCTGGCCATGGCCACCAGTCCTCTCTCATTTCCAGACAATCTCTTAGGATTCTTGATGCAGCTAGAACACACCCATAGGAGACCTACCAGTTATAGGAACAGCATGAAACACAACAGACCTGATTAAGAGCAGCAATCCCCATTGTGCAAGCTCACACAGAAGCAATACTTTAGCACTGGTCTCTCCTGAACTGAAGAATTTTGACTGTTATTTCTAAGTTGCAGAAGCTGTAGTACAGTTTGTGGTGCAATACATAGACTTCTTATGATTTGCTATTCAACTCTAGGTCTCTACAAATTGTTATCAGTTGCAGAAAAGTTTTATCAGGACAGATTGACCTGTTACAAGTGACTTATATCCATCTGAAAAAATAGCCAACCAAAGTTCCAACATGGATTAGATGGTCAGGTCCTAGGAACAGTTGTGAATAAGCAGCATGCTCCAACAGCCTCCTTCCAGGAGGTACCTGTAGCCAGCACACAGTTGCAACATCCACCAGAGGGACCATTTGCAGGCTAAACTGGAGACAGGCAACCAAAACTCTCTAAAACTATTCACTGAGGTTTGCTGTAAGAAATGCAGACACATGATTTACTTGTGAAGCTTTATAGAGTACGGATTCACAAGGATTTCTCAAAATGAAACACTTCTAAATGATTACAGCTTCTACATGCCCATGAGGAGGGTGAGGAACAGTTGGGACCAGTAAACTGAGGTGCTTTCAAACCTTTAGGTGATCTCTAATTGGGAGGAGTGGAATTACTGACTTGTCTAGATTTTACATAGCCCTGAGGACACACCAGCTCCCTCATAGCCCTTTAGGAAACCTTGAACAAAAGGGACTAATGTGGACTGGCAAAAGCAAGTGGTTCCATCCACTGTCTTACAGAATTGATAATTTTGAAGTTGGATGCCCTTAAGCAAAGCTCAGCAGCTACATAAGTTACCCTCAGGAAGGCTTGAAAAGGTGCTATTCAGACTGAACCAGGAACTCACTCAGCACTCACCTCACAGTGGGTAAGGCTTCCTTATAGAAAGCTCTAAAATTAAGCAAATATGATTCATGTTTGGTTTCTAGCTCGCAGGCACAGAGCTTCTAAGTGTATTTGTTGTTAAATAAACACAGACACCAAGTTCAAGACGCACTACTACAAAGCTGTTAGATTATTTGTTCCCCTGAATTATGCATTACTTTCAGTTGGTATGCAGTTTTTCTAACACAAGTACTCCACAAAGCCCCAAATTCCAGCATGTCTATATGCCATATGGACAAGCTTCTCCAACCGTCTGCTCCTCATGGAAATTCTATTTGTTTTCCTATTGATTTTATTATGTTTAACAGCATACTAAATCATTCCTGAGGTTGACAACTTTCTGGAAAATTGATATATGCTGTCTAAAACTGCCTGAGGCAGGAATAAAACCAAAACAAATGGCTTCTTTTAAACTCTTGATTTGCATTACTAGAGCCAGGCATACAAGTGCCATCTTGCTTAGTAGAAGAATTCTTCTCCTTTGTGTAATATCTGAAGCACAGGAAATCTTTAGAAGCTCTTCTTATGGGTCTGCATATCAGGGGAAGGTGATTGCAAAATACCAGACTATTTGAGTGAGGGTGGGACTAAAAAGGCAGATTGTCATCCAAGATCAATGGCTGGATTTTTTCTCTGGGGAGAGGTAGAACTATGTGTAGATGCCTTGGAATCTACAGCTTAAGGCAAAAGTAGAATTTTTAATGCGACTTAAAGACTCATATTTAATTCTTCTCCTAAGAAACTGTACTTTAAAGCAATTAAGTAAGATCAGGATGAAGCAGGGGGTTGTTTGTTTGTTTTAAAATTTTGAAGGCATCACCATCAAACAGTACAGAATTTGCTTCAAATATAGGACTGCATCTCAAATGAGAAAAAACTTCCAAAAAGAAAAACATTTCTTGGTTCAGAAACTCAGAGGGAAGATCAATTAGAGAAAACAGTTTTGATGCTTTTATGTCAGAAATCTGAACACCACAAGAATTCAAGAGGAAAATCGATTAAGAAGAAATAATTTTTAAATCTCCAAAGGTCTGACAAAAACTAAGAAGGTCATATGCACACATTTTAATCTCTGTTAGACTCTCATTAGGCTGTTTTAACTGCTGTGTTCTGGCAAAAAAGGAAAGAAACTGCAATGGAAAAATATTTTTGTGGGAAGTAGTTTAGGCACTGTGCTAGCTGACAAATAATGACATTACACTTGCAGAGCTGTAGACATTTAAGACATATGACATGAAGTCATATACTTCCCATTTTGGTGTGATTAAACAAATTCAAAGAAATGGAGACGATATTTTCCTACAGCCCCTGTGATGACACAGAATAAGCTTCTGTGTTCCACTATGGAGAAACCAAACTACACATGAATATGCACATTGAATTGTGAGTAAGAAAGAAGCCTCCTGTGAGTTAAGAGAACAATAGTCTCAAGGAGACATCTTGCATGTAGAGAACCTTATGATCATCCAACAGATACACACAAAAATGCACAAAATGCTAGAGGCCTCATGATATCAAGGATTAAAAAAAAATAGTACAAAAAGAGAAAATACTCTTCATATTACCCACTGAACTGAGCTTCTGGAAATCAAGTTTATCCCCTTCTTAGAGAAGGTCAAGCAAATCCAGTTCATTTGCTAAGTGCTTAGATATGTAGGTATCATATATAAAGCTCAGCAGAACTTAGATCAACAGAGATACCGCTGTAAGTGAATGTATAACCTACTTTCCAAGACAGTAACATGGTATCACAGTTTCTAAATTCATACCAACAAAATTGACCTTGCAGAAGTATTACAGGAAAATTTCTGAAGGTCTGCAAAACATGATCCCAAGCTTGTACATAATAGAAAATGGTTGGCTTTTCTTTGGTAGACAAATACAGTGAAGCTAGTAAGATCTGTTGCCTTTTTTCCAAAATACACTGTCTACAGCTGGCTCTTAATTTTGAAAATTGAAGCACAGAGCTGGGAGATTAAATCATGCCAACCTTTTCCTAACTAGTATATAGACCCTGTGCCAACAGTTTGTCCTGGATCCGGCCAGGACAGGGTTAATTTTTGCAGAAACCAGGAGTGAGCATGGCTAGGACATGGAGGTTATTCTATACCACCATTTCATTGCCAGGGGTGGGGGTGAAGGGAGTCTCTTCCAAGGAAAAGGGGTTCCTTCCAGTCCAGTAAACACTGTGGAGGGAGCCAGCCAGTATCATCTCTTGTTGGGAATAGGGGAAAAGGTGGGCTGTGGGTGTGTGTGTGTGTGTTAAGTGTGAATCATTTCTTTTCTTGTACCCTCTGTCACGAGTACTGTTGCTGTTACTGTTCGTTTTCTTATCTCATTGCTGTTTCCAGTAAATTTTTCTTATTTCAACCAGTTACTTTGCCTTCTGTGCCTCCAGTGGGAGTACTAAACTGGAGAATATCAGTCCTAAACCATGGCACTGCCATTTGGACATTTGTAGTTAGAAACCTTGTCACCAAAGATGTTTGACACTTGCTAGAGGTGTTATTTGTGCTCATCTGTTGCAGACCTGAGTTTCTGCAAACTTATGGGCAAGTTTATTGACTGCAAAGGAATAAACACCCAACACACCAAAAACCCCTTGGAAAGGCCACATATACCTCCTGTTGCTGGAGATTATTCTGCCACTATGCCTGTCCTTTGCAAACTTGACCGAAGTGGTAAATCCTTTGAAACACCCCCAAAATACCATAAAACCAAAAAGTTTCTAATCAGAAGAAACAAACCTCATGTGCTAGGCACTCCTAGCAGGAAACAGTAAGCATTCTTACTAAAACAAAAGTCTAGAAAAGCTTTTCACACATCTACAAGAGCAAAATGATTTTTACAGAGAATCATGCCTTCACAAACACTGTCTGTAAAAACAAGTGTTGAAAAATTATTCTCCACTCAGAACAGGCAGAAAAATACATTATATCCAAGATGGAAAAAACATTAATGTCAGGTTGAAGGAATTCAAGACAGAGCAGCATCAGACCATGGGTAGTAGTCCAGTATCACAGCTCAGGAAAGTGCATAATGTTCAGAAGGTCAGACAAGTGCATCCTCACAAGCTGCATCCTTAAGTTGAAGTGTTACTGATTGAGAACATGTTGGAAAGAAAGATAATTAGGACTGTTAAAACTTGTAGAACAGTACACTAACAAAATATGATCAGAAGTGTTTTTATTTTGCACACAAATAGAACAACATAAATGTCTTTTGACACCTTTGAGAAAACTTCTTTAAACTCCAAGGTACATCCCACTGTGTTAATCAATGATAACTGAAAAAGCAAAAACAATACAGGTAAACAGACCTCCTAATAATGTTGGTCAAATAAATTAAAGCTGAATATTTCTGAACCATCAATAGTATTAGCAGATGCTCTTTTTTCAGTCTACTTTTGAAGCAATGTCATGACCACCTAATTTAAAAAGATCACTTTTTTTTTCCTAGGTGCCCTCTTTGAGACCCTCAACCACAAAACAGGCAAACTGAATGGCTGTTTTTGGAAAGAGAGCTGTAAATGTGTCTGCTCATGCAGTACTGACTAAAGATTAAGACAGCAGAACTTGCACAGACAACAGATAAGAGATCTGTCTGACAGCCCACTGGAATTTCATTTGTTCTGCAGACAAAATAACAAGGTTGCTTGGAGGTAATCCAAAAAACTGTTCCACCAATTATTAACAGAAAAGAATCACGAAATGGGGAAAAACTGTTAAATTAAAAAAAAAAAAAAAAAAAGCTGAAAGTTTCAACACTCTCATTAAACACCTCCACCTCCAGAACCTTGCTGACATTACTTAACTTTTAAAATGAACACTCAATCATTGAAAACCTTCTCATAAAACACGAATAAGATCCAACGTTATCCTCAGTCGAGGAATGTCGACATCAAGCACTTTAACTTCAACTCTTTCTCCAGGACCTAGGCCCAGGCTTCTTCTCTTCTTCACTTTAGAAAGTTTTGCTTCAGTTATGTTTCGCACTGGAATCAAACCCGCTTTTCCCACACCAATATCAACAAAAACTCCAAACTGTGTCGCATTTTCAACTTTTCCAGTCAGAACAGTACCAACACTTAAGTCTTCAAGGCACACTATGCTCCTCTTGAAGTCAGGTTTATCAAAATCTGTTATAAGAAACAAGAAATACAAATAAGACTCTGGAGAAAAAGGGTTTCTAAGGTTTCTGAGTTGTTTCCTGATGATAACTTCTAATTAAAAACTCCTCCCAAGGTAGCTCTAAGATCCCAAGTACTGCTTTCAGAATCTTTTTAAAATAAAGACCCATTTGTGATAAACAACTTATTTCTTGTATTTTATTAATCACTTTAAAAGGTTTTGATTAATGGAGTAATGAGTATAGTAAACTCCATGGTATGAAACTATCATGAGGGGATCAGAAGTGTGTTGTATAGTAGCTAATGACTGAAAGATTCTTTACTCTTTTATTTGCTTCCAGATCCCCTGCTGGCACCAATGATTGTGCCTCTGGGATATGTATTTAAGGGAAAAAAACCTCTGCAATTGTAGTCAGAGAGAGAAGTGAGCATACACGAGAGAAACAGCTCTGCAGACACCAAGGTCAGGGAAGAAGGAGGAGGAGCTCCAGGTACCAGAGTATAGAGCCCCCTGCAGTTTGCTGAAGACCATGGTGAGGCAGATTGTTTCCCTGCAGCCTATGGAGGCACATAGTGGAGCAAAGATCCACCTTGCAGCCTGTGGAGGGCCCCACACCAGAACAGCTGGCTGCCTGAAAGAAGGTTGTGGCCCCATGGGAAGCCTACACTGGAGCAGGCTCCTGGCAGGACCTGTGTACCCATGGAAAGAGAAGAATGTGGTAGAGCAGGTTTTCTTGCAGGACTTGTGATCCCATTGGGGACCAACACTGAAACAGTCTGTTTCTAAAGGACTGCACTCCATGGAAGGCACCCACGCTGGAGCAGTTTGTGAAGAACTGCACCCCATGGGAAGAACTCTCCATAGAGAAGTTCATGCAGCTGTACAAGTGTATGAACTAGGCTGTCCACTCCAGTCACAGTGTCTGTCTAAAGCAATACTGAATGTACTACATCAGCAAAATATTAATATTTTCACTGAGGATTCTCTTTTATGTCTCCCTATATTAATATATATCCTATTATACAAACCACCAAAACAAACTGAGGCATAGAAAATTCACATTTTCAAGATAGCTAGTGGGAAATATTTTTAAAATATGCACAGAAACTATTAGTGAACCCAAAAGAGGGGGGCCGAAATGTTGGTTTGGGGTTTTTTAAGCCTAAGTTTATTATTTATTACAAGTCTGCATCTTCACTGCCTACCTTTATCTCTTGCTGTCGTAAGAGAATCCAGTTCTAAGTTGCACGAAACAACAGCATCTCCAGATGTTTTACTTAATTACTTACCTCATCTTTCTTCTCCTCCACCTCAAGCTGTTCAGTACTACTGCAGCTTTTAACCAAATTTAGGTCATGAGCCACATGCTTACACTTGTCTCCAAGAACTAGTGCAATAAAAGAGCAGAACTCCACAGTACTACACTAGTACTCCACAGAACTTGATTGCTATTTCACCTTGGTCTCAGCATTCCTCTCCGTGATGGAGAGCCAACACAGATTTAATCAGCACAGATTTAACATATTGAAACTATTTCATTTGTTAACAGCCATACAACTCCCCTTCCTACGGCTGAAAATGCCATGATTTAAACAGGATTCACACTGCTTACCTACAGAACTGGAAAGAAACATCTGACTACGATATAGCCCTTACCTTGCCTGAGAAAAGAAATGGAGTTTCATGACCATGAAAATCTACTACTAACTCTAGAAGAAGAAAATGTACTGTTTTGGAACTGGTAAGTAGAACAATCAAACTGAGATTACAACCTTCCAAACTCAGGTTTACCTGTACGAATGTCATAGCCTTCAGGCTGAGTCAGACCATCAATAATCAGCTGCAGTGTGTGCACTGTGGTATTCAGTCTTTTGGCTGTGCCTTCCAGTCCTTCCCTTTGAATTACCACATTTACTTTTTGCTGCATATCTGGTTTTCCTATCTCATTTGCGTTTCCTCCAATCAAAGATAAAAACCTGGAAAGTTCAAATAAAGATAGAGAGATTAGAAACATCCTTTAGTGGGAGCTGAACCTTTGCTCTATTTAGGGCTTTTAATTACTTTTTCATTGATGCATGAACAAAACTTTTGATAAAAAACATGAACAGTGAACAGTTTCTCAAGTCCATATCCTCTCAACTCATCACTGATTTGACACAAACTGAAACTTAAGAGTTTATCTGTATTCATGTATCTTCTGGAACAGATTACGAAACTAGACGCAAAATTTTCAAGTGTAAATCTTTCCTAAAACCTATGATTTTATCTCACGATAAACCTAAATTTCATTATGACTGAAAGACGTCTTTTACCCTGAAAGTTCACTAGAAATAGGTGAGAGTTCTATAACACAGTCATTTTTATTGTCACTCTCATTCAAATTAAAATGAATGGTCATTTAGTTAAGTAACGATGAACATTCAAAATATTAAATTAATATGAAGAATCTTTAACCTGACTTAAAAACTTCATATAAAATACTTCCCTTGTCTATGAACTTCATGATTAGGAACAATTAGTTTTTCAGAAACTAGGTAATCATCAAGTCAAAGTACTCACACACCACAAATACACTTATCTTTCCTTATTGTCACATATATACACACATTGCAAATTGAGACAAATTTGGACTGGTATGTAAAAAGCTGAAAAGAAATACTTTAAAATAATTATGACTTGACCTGTGATCCCCCCCTTTTTTTTTTTTTTAAACAAAAGAAAAACCCCAAACACAATTACTGCAGTTTTTAATTTTGCCATGTTGGGACACATCTGAGAAGCACAGAAAATAGAAGACAAAAATTCATATGCAGACCTTGCTCCTTATCAGCAGTGATGCCTTAGACAATGTTTATTTATCACTGAATAAATGTCCTTATTTCACTGATGGACTTAAAAAAAAGGTACACCAAGACTTTAATGGATATCAACCAATGAAAACAAGGATGCAGCTCACAGAAGCCAGGACAAATTGTACTAAATAAAGCAATTTGTTCTTTTCTCAGTAGGCGCTTCACTTATCTCTCCAGTTGCCCTGATCTGCATCTCACCATGAATTAGCCTCTTCTACCCTGCTTTATCATGTTCCTTATTGTTGAACAGGGGCACATTTTTTTCCATGTTCTCCACCTGTCTCCAGATAGGTAGAATTATTCACCCTATCCTGCAGAGTCCAAGTAAATGTTCCTTCCAAATTCCTAAAAGAGATCCCTCCTTCCTATTCTTATCCTGCTGCACAACAGGTGTAAACTACCAGCCTTGAAAGAAGTGCTGACCAGCAGGTTCATGCCCTGCACTTGGTGGGAGACATTCCAGCTCTACTAAGAAAGCAGAAGCCCTTGGTACTCAACCTTCTCTCCCTCCCACCCCCCCCAAAATACCTGCTGTGCTTTTTATCAAAACCTGAGGCTAGTATTTCTTTTGCCAGGAGACCCAGTGGGGTTTTTTATTTTGTTTTGTTGTTTTCTATTTTTTAACCCAAGGAACCCAACTGAGATTATTTCAGGTGGTCAGTAATAAAAAGTTATATGGACTGAAATACAGAACTAAATTTCTTTTTGAGAAAACATAAATTGAAGAAACATAATTAAAGCAATATCTGACTTTCAGTAAATCACAAAATTCATCTTTGAGTATAAGGGCAAAGCTTAGTTTAAAAATGTCCATTAATTTCACTAAAAGGAGGAACATATGTTCTAAAAGGATGTAACATCTGTTACAACTGGCTGTCAGGACTTCCACTTCTACACTGAGTTCAAGTGCAAGCACGTTGATTTAAGTGTACTGGTAGCTCAAACACAAAGATTTGCATTTAACAGTGATAGACATAATTTTCACATTAAATTTTTTAGTGCATACACATCTTTCATGTGGCAATGTATGAAGAAGAAAACTAATAAGGACTTGGTGGATGTTGCTGTTCTCAGGATTAACTGAATTTTGTTTTGACTGTATTTCAACTTTTGGTAGCACTTTTTAAAGTAGTTTAAGGTGGTTTTGAAGCAAGGTATATAACAAAACAGATGCAAAATAGCTTATAATATTAAATGCAAAATTATTTATAATATTAAATGCATTCTTTTCCTGTAAACGAACAAAAAACCAGCACTACTACTCAAATGTTTTATCTAATAATATATATCAAAATAATCAGACGTTCTATGAAGCCATTTTCTTTCGGTCTCAAAAGAGCACCATAAGTGGTTGCAATGATAACACTGAAAATGAGCATAGGCCCAGGTGAAGGACTCTTCCCAGAACTACTGGGGGCTGCTGGTTGCTTACATTGATGGATGGACAATGCCCCACCAGAGCAGTAGTGACAGGCGGCAGCTGCCCCAGCTTTGACTGACGTGCCAGATGTAACATGACAAACCCGACCAGCCTCATGACTCAACCTTCTAAATAATGTATGCTTTACCACCCACCCCTATAAACAAGTTTGCTGACATTCACATACTTGGCTTTATTTCACTTCAAATGGAAACTCAGCTTGAGTACGTCCAAGTAACATTTTCTCACCATCAGAATTTCGCAGAAGCGCATTCACTTTGTAAATCAGTAACAGGGTGGGTTTGGCCACTAGTAAATGCAACCACATGGAACAGTCAGCACCATATATTAAAAAAACCCTGTTACGTACAAAACTGACAAATGTGTGGATAATGCAATCAGAATGAATGCTGCTACGTGCACACCACTGCAAGAAAACCAGCCTGAAACAGGACACAACCCAGGTCCCTGAGCCTTCAATTACTATTCATGAAAGATATTTCAGCCCCTTTGCTCCTTCCTCTGCAACCACCACCCTCCAGAAATCCCAAATTATCAATTTGATATCAAAAAGGACTCCTCATCTAGGGAAGGGTGGTAGGTTTGGGCCCTACATTATCAATTACAGTTGTGCAAATAACTTAGTAATGTGGTTACTGCTCACAATAAAATTTTGGCCCTACCTGAAGGTGATGCTTAAACATCTGCCCAAGTCTAAGTACAAGAGAAGTCCCACCAACTTCTACAGAATTTTAATGCTCTAAGAATCAGGCAGTTTGTTAAGAATATTTCAGAATTATGAGGTATATATTATAAGCAGAACAGAGCCCAGCATGCACATACACACAGAAGAAATACTTTTTATAAGAACCAATATCATTTCTACTTTGGTAATTCTCACTTTTCTAGGATAGGTTTTGGTAAAACCTATTTATTAAAGTATTTCCAAATTAAAGCAACTTAGTGATTACAGATGCAGTTATTTTTAAAAATACTGTTGAATCCAGTTGTATATTTAATGTATCATTTTCACTGAAATGAACATAGCCTGAGGGCATTTAGAATAAAAAAAACCAAAAAAATCAATACAAAGCCCACGTCTCTGACTGAACAGTGGTGCATTATATTGATCATTTCTATTTTTAAACGTCATTGCTAAGAACAAAGTTAAATGTTTCCTTATTAAAAAAAGCAACCCAACAACTTCCTTCAAGAGTTATTTCAAGGTCACAGTAACAACGTGAGTAACAACTCCAAAGTCAGAAAAAAAAGGACATAGTAATAAGAGTGGGAAAAGAGAGGTTTCCCTTAATTCACATATTTTGATCTTCGTAAAGTTAAACTATCTCACTACAGTCCTTGAAATATCTCATCCAATTTGTAACTGACAGTTCCAGTTGCACAACATAGGAACATGAAAGATCTGTGCAAAAATGAAAGCCCTTCAAGTATTTTCCTGGCTACATATATGAAATAAATAACATGTTGCAGTAGTTCAAGTGCTATGTTTACCTACTACAAAGATAAAACCTAAAGAAAAGTTAATAGAAATGGGAAAGAAGAGACTTTTTTTCTTAAGTGAGGTAATTTTTATAAGATATTCTACTCTTACTTCCTCAAATGCTGAGTACCTGAGTAAACAGTGAACTCTCTGCTTAATATACATCAACTCAGATAAAAGCCGACAGAGTCTTAGAGTCAGAACAGAATGAAATTTCACTGGTTTAGATCTTTGAGTTTTATGGTTTTCAGATTTAGAGGATACTCAGAAACATCTCCAACCACCTTAGTTTTAAAAGCAATATTTGCAGTGTTACAAGACCTGCAGAGAATGGTCATGGATAAGTCACTGATGTTTTCATTTAATACATAATTTCATCCATCTTACCCAGATAAAGAAAGAAAAGTAGCATAAATGTAACAAATAAGCACATCATGTTCACTTAACATACACATCTGCACAAAATTACAGCACAGCCCTTGCAATGCTTAGAAGATAATGCAAATTTCAGTGGAATGCAAAAAACAGTCAGAAAAGAGTAAAAATATTACCAAGGGACGCCTCCAGTATATTTTTAAGAAGTTACTCTAACCCTCCCTGAAAAGCTTCTTATAATGTGCAGGAGTTCTAAAGCTTTGCAAGGGTTTTAGTCACAGTCATTTCTGTTTTATGTAATCATTTCCAGCAACACGACTTAAGAGCTGGGAGTACTGGATTCATTACATTACAGCAACATGATATGCCATTACATCTTGTCACAGTGCACACATGAATTAATGGTAAAGCAACATAATCACTTTGAAAACAAAACAACTTTGCATCAGCATGCACTTTGTTAGGTAAAATGTACATTTATGACAGTAGCAAACAAATTATGCAGACATTTATGTTTTAGTAATGTTTTGAAGTGCAGAAGCATTATTTGTATAATGCAGATGTTGACTGCCCTTGTTCTCAATAGTGATACAGATCCTCAACTTTCAACTACTGACGCAGATTATTTTTCAAACAATATTTGTACATTACTCTCTGTAATTAATTGCTAGACACAGAAAGCTAAAGTTTCAAATGTATCTAAAAATACTCATGTGGTTTAGCCAGACAAGGTTATTTAACCAATATATTTTTCCCCAAATGCATAAATTATTAATATTTGACTGCATGCAGAAGGTCAGAAAACCATCAGTTTATGACATTTTGAAC